ACGGACGACGGACAATCACTCATATGATAAGCTCCGCTCGACAAAGTCGACAGCGGAGCTAAAAAAAAAAAGCAAGCTTCAAAATTCACGAAGCCTGAAGACTAAGTCTGTTATTTTGAGACACTGAAAAAAAAGTGATTCAATGTTTTGAAGCTAATATTACACACAGAAAATTATTACCGATATTCCTACAAAAAAAGTACTAGTATATTTAATTGTCTCTTTGTTTGCAGTCTGATTTAATTGTTCCAATTAAATTTTTTTGTTTGTTTGAAATATCGGAAAGTATGCATCGTTTTCAATCATAAACTGATCATTTCTCTGGATTACCCCCAGGCATCTATGTAATCTGACTGGTGGTGCTTGAGATCTGTGGAACAACTAAAAATTGGTTCATTTATTTAAATTAGGTAATTAATAAGGACAATTTCAATCCTAAACTGCAATGTAATCATTTTTATGGATTTCCCCAGAGAATGCATGTATCAAGTTTTATTGAAATCTGATGAGTTGAAAAGCTGAAAATATGATTGGTTTTTTAAATACAATGGTAAAATAGACTACATACATATAAACATACGGACAGGATAACCACAAAGACTCCCAATGTGTGCTTCTCAAAATTTGCATGCATTTCTCCCATCTCCCCCCCAGATTTCAAATGCGTCACCCCTTATACAACTTACAATAATACCCAGTATGTTTTCTCGTTCTTTTCAATATACAAATAAGAAACGTGACTTGAATATGATTGCAAACGACAAGAGTAAATAAAAGATTCATCACAGACCATTTGCATCTCCAGTCGTATTAAAGAATACGATACAATGTTTTCCCCATCTCCATTATAATTGTAGTGTCTCAGGAATATTGTTTCACTTTGCTATAGACTTTTAAGAATTCAGGAAGCATATTGGATTCGATGTAACAGTGTGCAGTAAGACTCCCTAATGAATGATACACTTTGCACTTAATATACTGGAAGAAACAGGAAATGGCTAGCTGTACAAGGAAAGTGTGAAGATAATATGTATCCAACTACAGGATTTCCTGATTCTACATGATAGACATTTGTACTATTAAAATTTGAATTTCACTAATTTGCATCAAACTTTTAATTCGTGATAATAGCAGAACTGAAAATTTGAGGAATTATTTTATTTTTATAGAAAATTTATTTTTTTGTTAATATTCGTAAAATAATTCTTTTCAACCAAAACATAAAAAATTGAAAATAAAAAAATATGAATGAAAAATATATTACCAATATTTATAAAACCTATGCAGGAATTATTTTATTTTAACATACTGACTGCAGCAGAAAAACAAAAACAATTTGATGTGCATTCAGCAGTAGACTAGATACATATTCATTTGAATTTTATCACAAACAGGGAGGCAGTTTAAATTTTGAAAGGTCATCAACATCTTGTGATTAATAAGTGACATGATCAGATATAATTATTTTCAAAAATAGTCTAGCAACAGAATCGCATGGTAGTAATCTATAACCCTTGATGATTATCGATGACGTCAGTCCTCGAATTTTTTGCAATATCAAATTCCGAGAAAAATAAAGGTGGATTAATTTTGTTTGAATCAGCCATGAACCTGTGACTCTCTCCCAATATACATGTAAATTATTATTCACAGTAATTATGTCAAATATTACGACCTTCAAAATACACCAGAGTACATGTTCATTTCCCACATACACTTTCAATTTGTGACATGCATTGAATGTCCTTGATGAACTCATGGCAGTCTGCCAGCATTTAATTTATACAGTATGATAGCACTTTTCATGTAACTCCGAGAAGAGTTTTTTTGGCGGCAAATCTTCAATTTACAATGCCTAGATCAATCTTTTCTCTTTGCAGTGTCATCAAATTTTCCATGACAAATATTTTCATTAGTAGCTCCAAACACAGGCTTTGAAGCTTCCCTGTGTTGAAACAACATTTTTAGCGTATTTCATATTCATGACAGCTGTTGAGAGCTTAGATGTATTGTGTATTAAATACGCAGCATACTGCGAAGAGTACAGTATATACTAAATAATTTTTAATTAAACTTGTTAAAAACAGAGCTGAATAATAGTTATACACAGAGGTAAGTTTGATATATTTATGTAAAGTTAAAAGTTGAACGAGAGACATGCTTGGCCGAGCTGGCCATCTACCTAATATGAAATATTAATATAAACGAGATTCTATAAATAGTTTGCAGTTATGCATTCAATATGGTACAATTACATTTTTTTTTAAAAGAAAACAATTTGAATAAAATATTTAGGAAAGGTTTCTTGAGTTAATGTTACAGGTGTATAGAAACGTATAGATTAGAGCTCCCCCCTCCCCAAATAGGTATGGTATTGTCACTCGGTGTGCCGGGTTTAAAGAATAAAGGCCGAACAAATGTGTCATGACTAAAATAGCTAAAACAATTAACAATTCCAGAATTTGCGACAAAGGTACACATCTGCAGAGGTGCATAAAAACTGAAAAAAAAACTGATCAATGTATGTCAGGAACATGGCCGAGGGACCTTGGTTGTCACTAAAGCTGTTTTTCATTTCCGCATGGTTTCATTTGCGGTCCAATTGAAAAGGACCTCATGTGGATCTTCAGTTAGGGCGAAATCATCGACTCTAATTGTTTTGCAGTTAATACTGTTCAGTCCATTTCAATGCTGGAGATATATCCCGAATGAACGCACAATCACTAGCAATTTGAATGACAATCACGTATAAAAAAAAAAAAAAAAAGGGTCTCTATCCAGGCAAACTGAGTAATTGTAAAAGACAAGTATAGCCAGTGACGTCAAACTAACAATATAGCCATTGAAACCCATAAATGAGTGTCGATGTAAGCCCAGGCTTTCAAGTGTTGACCCAGAGATCACTGCTGAATTTAATCATATGGTATCAGCTATCATTTATATGTGAGAAAATTACAGATTCACATTAAAACTTTTGAAACCATTTTCCACAAGTACACATGCACACACTGGAATGGATGTAACTCACTCTGACAAGTAATCAGCCGACGCCCACTTCCCTGTTTTGCTCATATGATATGAAAGTACAAATATTAAAACCTGGGGTTACATGACAATAACAAACATGTTATTCGCAGTTTTATGCAATAAACAGCCACTTGGAGGAAAAAAACTTCCTAGGTGGAGTTGGTTAATCAGTCTGGTTTTCACAACATTGACAAGAGCTGTCATGACACAAAATAAATTGGGAATATATAGTTAGTCAACTGGTGTTAAAATCAGTCTCAATCCCCCCTACTTCATTTAAAACTCTGTCAATATATACTACTAGGACTTCAAAAGCATATAAGCTAGAGTGTTTCTCATATTCAGATCCGGTATATTGAGAACACCAACACAAGTAGTCTGTTTAATGAAGGCTAAATCAATTCAATGTCCATTACAGCAGTCAATAACCTGGTTAAACATGTGATCTCAACAATTGAGCTTCACAAGACCAGTTTATACAATTTACTACTGTTTGACTGCAATTACATAAACTCATCCAACTATGAATAAGAGAAGAACATCTCTGTAGCCTACTACATTAATAATGTGCAATTTTCACCTCTTCACAATCACTAACAAATGTTGTTACAAACACAAGATGATTTAAAAGTAGGGTGGTGAAGTATCCAAGCACACGCAGAGTAGACCCAAGTCTGCAAATATTCCTTTTTGTTTTTTTTGGAGAAAGAACATGGCATCGAGTCTATGGCATACTACCGGGAAACCATTATCAACATTCTTTCATTTTTAATAAAACCCAATGACGCAAGTATGCAGATTTGCTCGAAGAATAAACACAAATATTCCTCATTAGAAAATTGTGGTATGAAAAGAAGAAGTTGTCTTATACATAACGGAAGATCGAAAGGTCCACAAAAACATTTTGCTTGCACTTTTAACAGTATTAGATAGTGACCTGTGCTGTATACAGGTCAGTGAGTCTGATAAGGCAACTTGTACAATAGTGCTATTGTGAGCGTTTCAAGGTATTATATCATTTTATGGTGCAAACACTGCCATGCACTGGAGTGTTGTCACTACAGTTGTGATATTATTATCACACTGAACACATTAATTACTAACTGGGTTTTAATTTCATTATTTCCACTGATAATTAAAATCTACCATTAATTGAATCCAGATTGAACATGTAAAATAAAAATATAACTCACTGTTCATCTGGCAAATGTGCAAGCTTAAAAAAAAAACAGTGAATATGCTCAAAATGTATCAAAATAGTCAAATTGAAGCCAGTGAGAATAAACGATTTTACGTTTTTAGAAAAAAATTAAAGCCTAGGTAACAGACATTTCAACTGCAAAACGTTATGCACATGAGTGAAAGGAGTACAGTAACAAATATTAGAAAGGCGATGAAAAAAAAGCAGCTAAATTCAAAAGATTAAGCTTTGGGTGTGGACTGAACTGTAGTGCATGTGTGCTTGTAAATGCTTTGTTAAGAAGGGCATTGTTATGCTAAATACAAACAAACAGCCAGGCACTTCAAAAAGCATGTCTTGAAAAACACTTTTTAATCAGTTCTCCAAAAGAAGCATGTACAAAGACAAAAGTGAATGGGTCTTCAGTTTGAATCAGGGCACCCCCAAATCCGTGGAGGCAAAAAAAAATGCTGGCATAGAGGAAGAAAGAGGCTTCCATGGTACATTTTACCTCCATGCATAGCCCTACAAACTCAGTATGACACTGGTTAACTTCTGTGCTAATTGATGTGAAAACAACACTTTTCAAGTTGGGATGCCCCTCCCTAATCTTATTACAAGTACAACCAAGACAATGTATATTTAATCATTTAATTGATTGAACAATCTCAAATCTCTCAGCTTATACCTATCAATGGGTTTGGTGGTAATTCCATTGATTAGAGAAAACATACCCTCTCGGCTAGCTTCATTTGAACATAAATAAAAGATTTTAAAATGTACACCAGGAATGTTTTTATAACCAAAATTTTATTTTTTATTTTTATGCAATAAAAATCTATTGGCAACCAATGTGACAAGTTAATTCATAGTCTAGTAGCATATAAGCTTAAATTCGGAATAAATTACTGTATGATGTTTTAAAAGATACTTTTTTGTGTCAAGGCTGGCTCCAACATTTCATAATGGAAATAACATTCAAATCACATTTGATCAAACAATGACTCATAACTTGTGTTATGAACGTACAGCATGAAACGCTCTCTGATTCGTTGACGAGTCCCATCAGAGAAAAGCCACAGAATGTAATTTCTACATGAAATGTGGTATGATAAAAGGGGAAAGGTATTGGAGCCTGACCTGCATCAAATTTATCAGAAAATTTATAATATACAATAATGCACTTCTGGAATAAAAATGTCAAAAATTGGTTTGGATCAAATTTTACAATGCAAATATATATTATAAATATAACTAAGTTTGTTGCTGGTTTTCTAGCACTAGACCCTTTGCATCTTAAAAATTGTTTCCTAAATATTAGCAGTCGTGTTGTCCAGCCAAAAGTTCACCACTGAAATAATATACGAAACATCACATAGTGGTGGTGGTGGTGGTGTCTTGGCGACCACACTGCATGCAAAGAGTCAGTAATCACCTTGGTAACTTGTATGGTAATGGCAGCTAGACAATATAAACACATATATAAAATAAATGCCTAATAATGAAATGGCTAGTATGTTTGCTCATGCTGTCAAATAACTGGTGCCCTAATTTATTTCTAACTAAGATATGCAATTCAAATATATGGACAGAAATTTATACAGCAGGGCTTTATTACTCATGGCAATTGCATGAAGCACAATATATGTAAATGACAAGTCTGTCGTTTTTTTTTTGTTTTAAAAAAAAATCTGATTGTGACCCTCCAAGCACATTGCACTTATTACAAATCACCAAGCCAGAATAAGTCAATAGACAGCGAAATTAGAGAGGTGGTGTAGACCTTCAGGCAGCAGCTATCACATGACATGTAATCATGGCTAGACCGACTGTGGGTTCAATCAATGCAAAGTTATCACTGTTTAACAGTATGTGTAGTCTGATTATTCTGTTATCTATGTATACTATTGCAAGAGGGCGGAAGTAAATGCCTCAAGATGCTAGTTGTAATGTCAGTTTTTGTAGATGATAACTCTGTGAGCTTCCATGTAAAGACTTTCTCTGTCACAGTACCTCAAACAAAGCAGCATAGTTTTTTCCACCCCTTCTTAACATGTTCAGTGTCGCTGACACGGTACTTTATTTTCTTAGATTTCTTTTTCTTTTCCTGTGCCTGTGAGCTTAACTTAAGTGATGTCAGTATCACAGTGTCAAACACCTCTTTCATGTTCTTTTGGGTCAGCGCTGAGCATTCAATGTAACTTATTGCACTAATCCTGGCGGCACAAGATCGCGCATCCTCCTCAGAGATAGGCCGTTCGTGGAACCTAGCCAAGTCTATAAGTACTTTTACGTCATTGCGGAGATCACATTGGGTGCCAACAAGCAGGATGGGAGTCTTTTTATTGTGTTTCCGCACTTCCGGTACCCACTTCTCGACAACATTATGAAACGATGTGGGGGAGACAACACTGAAACATACCAGGAAAACATCTGTTTGTGGGTAGCACAGAGGTCGCAAGGAGTCAAAATCATCCTGTAAAAAGGACATACAAATATTTAGTTTGAGCGTGGAACTAAAAATTACATGGTTTGAGAACATGTCTGGCAATATGCTTTCAAAGTTGGCAATTCAATGCACTGTCTATGGATTTCCACAAAAAAAAATCTACTCCAAGTGAATAGTGAATAACCAACAAAACGTATTCAACTGGATATATCTGTACAAGGGTTGAGCCATGGGGACAATGGTTTCATATACACCTCAAATAGTGTCCACAGAGTATAATTGTCCTCTAGCCAGCCTTTTATGCCATTGAAGTAAACTTACACCACATACATCACAACTGAACCTTGTAGCAGGCTGTGAAACAGATTTGTACAGCATGAACTTTCACAAGGTATTTCTAGTCTAGACCAATTTTGACACACAAGTTGTACCACCAACAGTGACTGCTAATATTGCAAAGTAGAGTTGTCATAATCAAGGTCAATGGCTCATGCAGTTGTGATAAGCTGATAGGGCCTAACACTAAAACTGTTTGCTCAGCTATTTATAGATCACCTCATGTGGGTCCTGGGTGCATTTATTTGCCTCTTATCAGGTCAACTCATCCTGCATGAGTGCTTTACCACTGCAGTTTCAACTCTTTGCAAAATTGTCTACGTACCAAACTATTTTGTTGTTTAATTTTTGGCCAAATTGACATGATTTTTTTATTGCCTATAAGTCGTGATTAAAATGGGGAAAATACACATTTTATTTTTTCATGAAATGACAAAAGTTAACTTCTGTATAAGGTTGCGAGTAGAACAAATATAGAGCTGACCACAAACAATTTGTTAAAAAAAGTTACACCTTTTTGCATTGAAAGTCATCAGGAAGTTGTTGTTCTGTCTGGTTCACCACAAGTTCCACAGAGGAAGCCAAGCAGATACACTGAATAAACAATTCGGTTTTTAAATAATGGTCCGTGAAGTGACCTGGGTGGAAGTCATGCATGAGCCCGAATACCACAATAGAATACAATAATTGTCCAAACACGGCAATAGCGACATGTCGCCATTTATTGTGTCAGGAATAAAATAATTCAGAAGTTATGAAGTTACGTCATCGAGTGAATTTTTTAAGAAAAGAAAATGAAGTACTAGTAATTATTGCAAAGAAAGAAAAAAACAATTACCTGACCAGCTGTATCGCACAGCTGCAACCGTACCGGTTTGTTGTCAACGTTTACAACGACTGTAAGAAAATCAACAATGAGATAATAGATTAGAGGACCTATTGTCCTTGGTGTGGTTGACGTGACACGTTGGTCAATGAAACATCTACTAATATCGAAAACATGTCTGGAGATGGCCACGGGCACGGAGAGAACTATTGTTGGGTGGCCTAGACATAATGTTTTTACCTAATAAAGTGCAAACATGGGTCTGATTGAATAGAAATGTATAGAATTTCCATCAGCGAGGAAATAATTATAGCTATATTTTTGAGTGTGGTCAACTTGGCAAAATATGAATATATATTACGATCAAATTTGGTTATTTAAATGAATAAGAGTTTTTGTCCGGTATTGTACCTGTCCAGTTAGGAGATTGTTATCATGTTGCTAACTTTGATTACAAACAACTGATGAGTTGTTTGTAAACATGGAGTCAGGACCTCCCCAATGCCAGGTGAGAAGGTCCATTGTCGTTGCTACGCCAAAAAATTAACACATGGATATAATTAATATGCAATTATATGACTGGCAATAAGGGTGAATTATTCAATTATAAAAACAAACTTACCGGCGTAGTTATCGTAGGCCGTAGGAATGTATTCCGTGGGATAACCGTTTGTCGTGTAACTGACAATCAGGCTGGTTTTACCGACTGCTCCATCGCCAACCAACACGCATTTCACCCGAGTTTCCACTTGGTCCGTAGCGTCGGGCCGACACGAAAACAGCAGAGTGTTTGGCGGCGTACTGGTACCGTTTGATTGTATATAAGGTGGCATTATAAGGCCAGCACTTGCACTTGTCGGATCCAGGCTTGACGACAGAATTATGAGGTGCCGATGATGCAGCTCATACGGGGATTAATAAAAGTGACACCCAGCTGTGATGATTCGAATGCGTTGGGCCATCAACGATCACGAACGTAGCGCCACGAGTTTGTCTGCAAAACTTGTAAGACGCTGTAATCAGACGATACACGATCCACAAATCACCAAATTGCAACGAATGATGCACAATACAATACAGTGTCACAGTATCAACAATTTAGACGAGTTTGATGAGCGAATTCGGAAAAAAACGT